AAAAAAAAAAAAAAATCTGCCAGGCTGTGTCTTCTACAGAGTGAAATGACAATTTCACCGATAGAGGGAACAATCGTATCCCTTGTCCCCCTTTGCGGACACTGTTACAAGTGTTTAATGCTGTAACATTTGTATCAGCACTCAGCAAGTCCTTATATCAGTTACATATGGATACAATACAGATACATGACTCCAATGTCTCCTCTATGGAGGAACAACACCGCCACCTGGTGGTCACATGATACATGTTTATTATACTGAAATAGGTTGTAGGACATTCACATTCCAGATAATTCATGTCAATTGCAGTGTTAACATGCTAAATGCAACAGAGTATTTATTTATTTTTTAACCGAAGAAAAAAAAACATTTTAATAGCATGATTTATTTACTACAATTGTGTTCTGAGAGAATATTTTCCATTCCCAAGAGAAACTAAATGGTGGGGCTTCTTTACTCTTCATTAAAAGAACAAACATCCTTTTGGGTAGTAGAGAAGAGTAAACCACTATCAGTTTTATTTCGGCCGCTTTCCCCTCACTGCCTGCCCTGTAGACTCAATATGAAGTGTAAGGATATCTTTCCAATGTGAGGGAGATTACCTCTAAGACAATATATTACAGACAAAAAAAATCTCCTCAATGGATGGCCTCCCCTCTACTCATATTGTGGGGGCATATCAATTTTGGGTTTACCGACTTCTATTCCCCCATGACATATTGATCATGACATTCAGAAGGCAACACAAGACATAAAAGGGAGCCCAAAATAATGTGTGTAGAGGAAATTGAGTGTGCAGACTAATAGAGGCCACTACATCATGTTTGGACATGACAAGCCCCATGTCATAGGACTTTGTGTTTAACATTTTCCAATAACAATGACATTCTAGGTGATCAATCTGCACCCATCTAACATTCACAAGTCTTGGGGTTTGCTGTGTGTACATTAAAAACAACGTTCATTTATGGAACATCAAAGTCTTCAAGCTATTGCATACAAAAGCTCACAAGAGGGAACCCAATCTGCTAGAAAGATTTATCAAGCTGCAGAGAAGTGTCTGTGCTCAGCCTGTACTCTGTAGCACTTTATTGTCACCATGTATGTGATTAATATTCTTCCCCTCAGATCAGGTTCATTGTCTGTTCTCATTTATATATTCTGTTTATTATTTATAATGAATCATTCAGCCTTGTTCTTCTCTGCATAGAAAGATCAAATGGAGAGAATATACAAGTGAAATATCTCCCCCTAGTCTATACAATGTTTTCTTTTATACATAATTAACTACTTATACATGGAGTGTGTCTGTTCTCTCCCAAATCAAACACGTTCCAATATATTGTAATAAAGATCAGAGAATACAAGTCTGAGTGTGTCCGCTGGGCAGAACATTACTGCAAGATTAAACCTTTCATCTCTAGCAGTCACTTTATAAAGACACACTCTTCTTACTCAGGTTTTATTCCCAAATGACACTCCTTTAGACAACATAAAACTTGTATACATTTTTATTGCTACGATAAGTGGACCGATTGAAGACAAGATCTTAGTTACAAGTGCTCAGATATCAGTATACAGCTCTTTGTAGGAGAAGGTGGGTGGCCCTGAGAAGGACCTTTGTGTAGATGGAATAAGTGATCGGAATGTAATTAGGATTTAACCCCCGAATCCGTAGAGAGTGCGTCCCTGGCGTTTGAGAGCATAGACGACATCCATGGCGGTGACGGTCTTCCTCTTGGCGTGCTCGGTGTAGGTGACGGCATCGCGGATGACATTCTCCAGGAAAACCTTCAGCACTCCGCGGGTCTCCTCATAGATGAGTCCGGAGATGCGCTTGACACCCCCTCTGCGGGCCAAGCGTCGGATGGCGGGTTTGGTGATGCCCTGGATGTTGTCTCGGAGCACCTTCCTGTGCCGCTTAGCGCCTCCTTTCCCCAGACCCTTCCCGCCTTTACCGCGACCAGACATGATAACTCTTCGTTACTCAGACGAACGACGAATGAAGAAAAGTAGCACTGGTCACTTCCCTTTATACAGAGAAAGTGGACCTGGTGGGGAACTGAGAGGGGAGGGGTATTGAGGCGTAGCCGTGATGTTGTAAAAGCTCCGCCTCTCTAGGCGGGTATGGTCCCAGCCCTCAGCCGTTACTTGGTTTGAAATTCCCGCTCATTCAATTCTCCTGTGTCCTCATCTACACAAAGATTTTGTTCGAGTGAATAAAGCGGTTTATTTTTACCGGCAAATTGTAACCTTCTATTAGAGATTATAATGGAATCCCCAATTGTCATTGTATTATTAGGACTTCTATGCACCTCCGCTGTCATCTGTGACACAGATTCCTGTAACCCCCCCACCGCCATCCGACTCCTCCTGCCCGGAGAGTTGGCCAAGCACGCCGTCTCCGAGGGCACCAAGGCCGTCACCAAGTACACCAGCGCCAAGTAATCACCACTCTGGTACTGACCTAAAACTAAACCCAAAGGCTCTTCTAAGAGCCACCCAAATACATCATATCAGAGCTGTGATAATCTTGTAGAAGTTATTTGTTTTGTGTATTTTAAGAACGTCTTTAATAAGCCTGATAATAACGTTTAAACAGTAAAGCGGACACTATTAAATCCACAGAAATAGATGCTGTTCGCCCGATAACGAAATTCACCCATGTCTGGGAAGACAAAAGGAGCCCGCCAGAATTCCCCCAAGCACTACCATTTACCGGGGGAAATAATACCGTTGTAATTGGTTTCATACACGAAGCATAGGGGTTTACATATCTGTAGGGCTCTGGCTGGTCTCTCCAAACCTTTCTTGTATTCGCATCTTGATTTCATATTACCTTCGTAGATCAACATTCTATCCGGATAGGCTCACTCAATTCCCCGCTTTGTTCAACCTGATATGTTGTACCCGGACTGACCACAAGGTGGCAGCGCCTGTTAACGAGTTCCTCCGCTACAGTAAAGACCCTGCAGACTCTCCGGCACTCGCAGTAATGTTACTTCATATTACACCATGCTTTGCTTCCTAAATAAAAATTACCATTCTGAATTGTGTATAAAATTAGAAACGTCTTACTCATTTTAGAATTAGAACTACTGATAGGACAGAATGTTAAATAATTACATTATTATTAAAAATTTTACATTTAATGAATGATTAATAGCCAAAACATTTTTGCTCTGTGCTGTAGACAGATGCAGCGTTTGTTTTTCTTTTTCCAGTCCGTGTTACAAATGTTTATAGATGTAACATTTTTCATCAGCATATTGTTTTAAATAGATGTTGAGAAGAGCCAATGTAGCTGTTCCAATGCCTCCTCTATGGGGGAACAACACTGACCTGATGCACTTATATGACAAAAATGATTGGATAAACAAATAATTTATTATTAGTGTGTATATATTAGAAGAAACTTTATTGTATTTTTCCAAATTCAGATATTAATATCTGAGGGCCCAACGCTAGTGATTTTAAATGGGATAAAATCATTGTACAGTAACCCAATGGCCCAAATGAAGGTTTACTGACTTTTCTCCTCCAGCTGCACATTACATAATGGAACACGTCAGGGGTGCCCACATTCCTCCGATTACTCGCCCTTATCCCTCCGATTACTCGCCCTTATCCCTTACTGATCTCCATTAAGGTCCCCACACACCTTACGATAATCGTAAGGTGTGTGGAAGCCGTGCGACCTCTACTACTGTAAGGTCGCACGACTTTGAACTTACGGACATGTTCGAAAACCTGCCCAGCATCGTACGACGTTCGGCGAGTTTGTGGCATGTCCGTACGATAACAAGCGCACACTGCCCGTTCAGCAATGCGGTCATCGGAAGCCCCTGAGGGGCGGGCTTCCGATGACCGCAATGCTGAACGGGCAGTGTGCGCGTATGCAAGATAGGCAGATCATACGTTTTTTTAAGTACCTTACAACCATCGCAAGACAAAAGTCTTGTGATGGTTGTAAGGTGTGTGCCCAGCCTTAGAAATAATGTTGAGATTAGTATGAAGGGTAAGGAGTAGACATGTGCACCAGCAAAAAAAAAGATTGTATGCTTTTGTTTGGTTCCATTTCAGATTTTTCATTATTTCGTTTTTCGGGATTCAGGTCTGAAAGTCAATTTGTTTTGTTATTTGGGTTCATCCAAATCCAATTTGTTTTCATTCATTGTGGATGCCTTAGATAATTATTAACGGTGATTGCAGCACAGCGACATTGTATGTACGCATGTTTATTTATAAAAGAAAAAAAAACAACAGCGTGCCCCACCCAATTCAGATCAGACCCCTTTCATAAAGGGGGCACCCAGATTACCCCCCTGATTGAGTAGAGGGCAGTGGCACTGGACTCATCCTATCCATTTGTTTACATTCTGTGCTGTGTCTTAGTCCCTTAATGGAATGTAAACAAATGGATGGGACAAGCCCAGTGTCTGCACAACTTGCTCCTCCCTTTTGTTGACATTCAGGAGCAGAGCTATTTTGGTGGCGGGGATATCCCCTACATGGGGACAATGTGCTGTGCCGGCGGGTGTTCTCCTGCCCCCCCCGCCCCCCTCCTGCTCTTAATAACTTCTTGTCTAAATTACAACTTCTCCATCTTACTGAAGAACTTATATTAAACATCTCCAGGCCAATCACAGTATCTAGAATACTTTTAAACAGCTTCCTTTAGGGAAATTGCCTGGCGGGGATAACTCTATTAATGAATATTATAAAACCTTTGATGCACAGCTTGCCCCCTATTTGGAAAGTTTTAGAATCTAATGGTGGAGGTGATCGCCTAGTGAACATTTAGTGGCCATTACCCAATGTCACCATAATGGCCACTAAATCTTCAGGCAAACTCTGGCCCTCCAGATATGGTGAAACCAGGGCTGTAGCTACCATGGGGCGAGTGAGGCACTCGCCTCAGGCGCAGCATGAGAGGCGGCTGTCGGATTTGGTGTCCTCAATTTCTTTTCCATTTTAAAAGGGAAATGTCAGGGGTCTGTTTGGACCCCTAATATTTCCCAAAGCGCCCCCCCCCCACCCGG